CTTCATGGGCTGATCGTGGTGAATGGTTGACAACCACATAGCATTCTCCTTATAGCTGAAGGAGATGAATACATTTAGAATATTTAGAAATGTTAATGCAAATTTAGAAATGCAAATTTTTAGAGGTCATAAAACTGAATGCATCAAATGCAAAAAAAAAAAAATAAACAAACAAATGGAATGTTAATAGACCTATGGTCCAAAGTCAAAATCAGTACCAAAGTTCAGAGACAAAGGCAAATACTTGCTATAGTTCATAATACATGTGTGAGTAGCCTTATTAAGGCTTACAATATTGAACAGAAACCAGTATTGTAAGTTTATGAATGAATTAATAATCAGAAATATAAAAAAGATTAGTTGTTTTGAATACTCTATTAACTGTTAGTTGTTGTCTTTTCATAAATTTCTCTGTTGCGAATTAATAGGTAAATAGAATGGATAGAACCCTTATAACATCCAGATTCCTGTTTACTGCTTACCTCGTATTTTTTGAAATTCCTTTTGACCTTCCTCACTGACTTTTCTCATTCCGTTTACAGGCTATATCAAAAGCTTCCACTTTGCTTAACCTTTAATAAATTTTTCAAGTAGCAACACTCAAAAAATGTATTGCTACATTCTAACTTTGTTACTCATGATGTCTTCAGCATTAAGCAAATTTGTATTTCATTGTTTTTATTTCAGACTCATCGCTGCTTCTGTGGCTTTCATTTAAAAACTTAATCTGGGCCAGGGATTTAGCTCAGTGGTTCTGGCGCCTGCCTGGCAAGCACCAGGACCGGAGTTCGATCACCGGTACAAAAACAAAAACAAAAACAAAAAAACATAAATCTTAATCAATAAGTACTATGAAATTTTTTAAAAAGAAGTTTGTACTCACGAAGGGCTGTTAAGGACCGTCTTCAGTGCGTTTAGCAGTTCTGTGCTTGACATTGTCAAGAATTCCACTTTAACAGCTGCTCCTTTAGCCTTCATGTGAGCAATGTTATCATGCTGATCCGCAAACAAAGGAATGCCCACCATAGGGATCCCATGGTAGATCGCCTCATAAACACCGTTGGCTCCACCATGAGTGACAAAAGCTCTCGTTTTGGGATGACCTAATGTCAGGTGAGTGTCAACATAAAAATTTGTTATAAGTTTAAGAAATGCAATGAGAAGTGTACAACAGGAGTCACAGAAAATGGATCTATTTTATGGATAAAGAGTGTGTATCTATTTAACTACAGTGACGTTGCTTTTGGGTTTTTTGTTTTATTTTGCTTTGTTTTGTTTTTGTTTTTTGAGACAAAGTTTCACTATGTAATTCAGGCTGGCCTTGAACTCACTATGTAGTCCATGCTGGCCTCAAAGTCTCAGCAGTCCTCCTGCCTCAGCCTCCTGAGTGCTGAGATTATAGTCATGCAGTCTCACAACTGGTACAGTAACATTCCTTTTGTGTATCAGATCAAGAAAGCAAAGGAAAGTGAATGCTACTGTTCAGATAAGGTATATGACTGCAACAATGAATATAGGATTTCCAGGAAAATTTCACATAATATGGTAAAATAAACCAAGTGACATAGTAATAGGATTATGTGTGCTTTAGAACTTGTTCCCTTAAAGAGGTAGTTCATTCACTAATCCTGATGTAACAGTTGTGCATGTGAGCAAGATGTGACACTGGGATCAAAGAGAGTGAATTATTAAGTTAGGAGTGTGAAAAATTTCTCATTGAAAATACTGAAAATAAATCAAATATTATCTTGATCAATATTTGTAAACCCCCATCTCTGTGGAAAGACAACCCTGGAATTTATTACCTCTTCTCTGAGAAGCAAACAGATTTGAAATGAAGTCTTAATATTGTTTCCTTGGATAACAAACATCAACTACTGCAAGTCATTTTGCTTCCCTCAAGACTGCAAATATACAATGAAGTTTGGTTTCAGTTTTGATTGTCTGTTCCTTGTTTGGTTCCATCCTGAGCTATCACCATCCTGACTGATTTAGGTTTTAAGTATTTTTTCTCCAATATCTTACCAAGTAGGTCATTCTGAGGAAGCCATTTGTACAGCCGAGTGTTGGGTCCTAAGGTATCTGGTTTCTTTCCATCAAATCTCCAAAGAACCTGTTAGGTGACGATTGCATTATATCATATGGTGAATTTTTAAATTTACAGACCATCAAGGTAAATGACTTTCATTGTGTACATTTTAAAACTGAGGACAGGAGTTTATCTATGAAGTACCATGAAGATACTGAGACAAAGAGAACACCAACATTTTCTCTACCTAGCTTTATATTTAAAAAGATTGAAAGTAATCATGTTGAACCGTGACATAGAAAATAAAATACTACATGGTAAATGAAAATATTTTAGAAATTGCTATTAAAGTATTTAAATAATTAAAAATATTAAATATTTCAGAAATATAGAACTTTGCAAAGAATAATTTGTAATGATTTTTATCTTCCTTAATATACATGTTTAAAATAGTAGTACACTATTAATACTGACATATTTTAAAAGATATCGTTATAGTTTACTTATAATTATTTTTTACAGAAGTTAACTTATTAGAATTAGATGCATGAAATATCATTTTTGATATGTATATTATGGAATCTACACAATCAGTTTCTGTCAGAAATCATTTAATTAGTTTTGGAAAGTACAAGTAATTTGTTTTGTATTAAAATTATTAATCCTTAATTATGGAGAAGTTTCAACTGGCATTCTGAATAGGAATTTGTAGTATTATTACCACTGCCAGGATCATAAATTAAATTTACAAAATACAGCTAGTTTTGCAGTTCATAAATAATGTAGCTTTTCAAAAATCATTCATATTTAGGTACTGGGGATTTAGCTCAGTTCTTCCTACTATGGTTAATTTAGTGTTATCAAGTTTTCATAAGTAAAACAACTGAGATGTTGTATTAGACACATATTTCATAATTGAATTATTCCATAGAAGTGGAGGTTTTGTGTTACTTTCCAGTTTTTTAATAAATAATTTCTAGATAAATATATTCGTGCATCTGGATTCTTTTTCTTTATTCAAATGAATCATATAAATGTTAAGATGATGCAAATTTCTTTTTTTGGCCTTTTAATAACATCTATTATTAGTAATTTTTGTCATTTTCAGAGATCTTTTTTCATCCTCGTCTGCTTAATCTATTTCCTGCTCCTTCAACATGATTGCTTTTTAATCAAGAAATTCAAGTGTATAGATATATTGCTTACTAATACACTAATTAATAATGTCTCAAGTATTTGACTTTTGAAGTTATTGTGGAGTCTCCACAATTTGCTCTAAAAAGGAGATTGGATTATCTAGGGATTTGGTTCAGTGGAATGGTGCCTACCTTTTAGATCCTCAGTACCAAAAAAAAAAAAACAAAAAAAAACAAAAAAAATTGGATTTTAGCCACATAATCAGATTTCAGCTTTACACTTTTTGCCAATAAGAAGGTAAACAACTTCTTAAAACATCAGGTATATTGAAACAAAGCAGAATGACTCATTTCTATTTGTATCTTAGAAGTGTGATGCCAATTTAATACAGATAAAATTATTGTGTTTGTTCTTAAAGAATATCACTCTATACACTGCCAGAATAGTATTGTGATTCTCATCAAATCAGTATTCAGAGAAATCATAGGAATTGTAAAATGTTTAATACCTAAGCAGTGAACCTTTACTCTGCATTCACTTTGCCAGGTAACATTCATGCCACAAGTGTGTCACTGCAGGGCATTTTACTGAGGTATCCCACAGGTTTGTCAAAGGCATTAGATACCTGTTTCAAGAAAGTAATACATTCTTTGTACACTGAAATGTAAAACTTTGGAATCTGAAGTGAGGAATGGTTTCAGTGCTATAGACAATGGAAGGAGATGCTCAGTTTGGTAACAAAGATTGCTGGTATGATTGACCAATACTCTTTTTTTTTTTTTTTTTT